TGTTACAATAGGATTTATAGAACCTCCGCGTTATTGCAAAAGGGTTGTATTGACAATTTTGTAGGGAGATAATCTAAGGACCTCATGACCCCTTTTCCATAATTTTTAGTGTGTCAAAAAAGTTGTTTTTTAGAAAAAGAAACATGATTTTTCTGATGCTTGAAAAGCGAAGTAACATGCATGAAAGATACATGTCCAGATGTGACAGTAAAAAAACCACGTCAGTCAGGCATAATAGCCAACAAAAAGACAAAAACCATGTTCGACTAAAGTCTACAGAGATCGGGAATACAATACGGCAACCCCTTTTTTCACATCGATTCCATTCCGAATCAGTTTCCTCGTTGCGTTTTCCCAAATGAAGATATTTGCGTATAATTTCCATACATTTCCCTAAAACAAAACCGTACACATGCACAAAAATGCCTGACCCACCCCCTCCGCTAGCCGCCTCCCCAAAATCGCGGCAACCATCATAAACCATAATAAAGCCCGCTCTAAACAAGCCGCTTTGCCTTGTTCATTTTTCAGCGATGCGAGGGGCAGACGTGCGTGTTGTAATGTCGCACACCCTCTTTCACGTCGAATGTATTATTAACCGCTCCCCGAATTTTGATATTGCACGACACTTTTATATTTTCCGCTTTGATAACGACAGATTATTCAATTATTCGGCCGTTAGCGGTTTTTGATTTACGTGCACTGATTGCGTTCGGCTTTTAACATGGACGAAAAAATGTGTCGACAAGTTGGAAAAGTTGGTTATCGACGGAGGTTACAAACAGCGATTTGTCGAAACGAATTCGTGGACGGTTATCGGGTTTACGATCGGTTCGGCTGCTTGTGCTGGAAGTTTGCTTGACAGGTGGGGATCTGTTTTACCGACGAGGAGGATTTGCGTGGTGTGTAGTGGGCTTCGCGGGTGATTTTTTTCGGCGGAGGTTAATGGGCGCTGAAATGACAGGAAAATGCTATAGTTTGAGGTCTATGAGTGGTGTTTAAAAACGGGCGACGGCCAAGATCTGATTGCTTCGGGCTACCTGTTGGTAATAAAAGCGCTCGTAAAGCTATTTCAGAACAATAAAGTTTTAAATAAAACATGATTGTTCGGTAATCTAGAGATTATATCAGTGATGGTGTCGACTGTTACGTATTAAATACACAAAAAAAAATGTCAGCGAGGAGTGGAACAATAAGCGTAAATACGAAATTATTTAGTACCCCCCAAAAGAATGTGGTTTATAGCGGGTTATATATTATTTCAATTTTTTTTCTAAATATAACTTGTCGTATCCGTTAAATGCTAAAACAAACAAAGACGAAATTTTATAACGAACGCTTTCACAAAAATAAAACAGGGTGGGTCATTTTGCCGTTACAATGACACCAGTGAATTTTCATCTCGAGAAAAATGTTCGATTGAGACGTTTATCCAAATTTTGGTTAACGTTTTGCACGACATTCCTAAGACACGTATAAAATTTGACAACAATCGGTCGAGTAGTTTCGAACGTTATTTAAAAATTCGAACAGGCGGCAGACAGATAGATAGACAGAAACGGAAGAAAAGTAAACGAACCCAAGTCCCCAATCTACAAATAAAACCATAAATTATAGATCGGCTGTTTAAGCTTAACGGTCGTCAAACTTCGAACAGGGTCGTAGTTATTCTACTATAGAGTCAGAAAATATTAACTTGCTTTTGTGTTGATTTCAAAGATATGTAATTGACTTTCATTACGAAATAATTTTCAGACGGCATACAAAAATCGAAAACACGTGGAATAATTTTTGTGCATTCAGGAGCTAACCTCATTTCGCCGTCAATCAAAATATTCTGTTTATTCTGTATACTGATTACTACAACTCGGATAATATCTGTATTTGGTTAGCATAATTGGCACCCCAATTTGCACCAATTATGGTACAATTAATTATTTATTAGTTTGGGGACGTGGTTGAACATAACAATTAGCCGTAATGCGTACAGTGTGTCCAAATGTACGCAATAAATTCGATAAAAACACTAAAATACGCTGCGGGAAAAAACGCTATAATGCGTGAGGTATTTTTAAGATTATGTAAAACTATAAAAAAAATTTAAAAAAAATTGACTAATAAATAAAGAGTTGTTTGTGCGCATCTGCGCTTACGCAGCCCCTCTTCGCCCTCAGCGCCCTTCTCACTCCCCTCCCGAGTGTCCGGAAACGATTCCAACTTCGATTATCCATCAAAGGGCGCGTTGAGCATTTCCAGCCCGACAAACAATTCGCATTTCCATGTTATTGGATGAGATTTTGCAGGGCCTGGGGCACCTTTTTTCTATATAGGAATCGTAATTGTCCGCGAATTTACCATAACGTAATTCCGCGATCGATCCCAGACCCCGTAATTTCCGTTCGAAATCTACGAATCGTAACGCGATTAAAAACCGAACTCTTTTATTTTCGATGCGAAAATCATTTGTGCTTTTAAAACGAGACTGTTTGAGGAGAAAAGCTTAAATATTTGTGTTGAGCGGTTTCAGCCGGCGGCCAGCTCTGCGGAAAATTGTTGCGCCGGGCTGGGTATGATTGATTATTTATTTTCTGAATATAGATTATGTTACTTCGGATCTATCAAAGTTAAGAGATAGACATCATTTATTTCTTTTTGGGTCGGCCGGAAACATTCATCAATTTCGTCCAACAAACATGTCAATTTTTCCCCTTTTGTTTCCAAGTTGGAGGTGTTCATAGCGAATTTGCATGGATTTTTTTGATCGCTGCTAGAAAGTGTGGAAAAGGGGGATCGCAGTACGGAGCCTTGAAGCACTGAAGACATTTTTCGTTGCGTGCTGATGCAGATCCGTCTCCAATGCACCTTGCGTGAACAAACACAGGTCCGGATTAAGCGGTGTCGACATTCAACAGTTTTCTGCACCAATCGCAGCCCTATCGCCTCGTACAATCTTTCATCAATATTACATAATAACCCATTTCGTAAGCTGCCATTATCGCAGTTTGTAATTTATCGAAGAAAATATGGGATGGGGAGTAACACGCTTTTAGAAAATGGTTACTTTTAGCTGAGTTTGTGTGGTTTATTTTAGTACAGTGCCATATAGTTTGAAGGAAATATACGGGGGGTAATAAATCTTGCGTTGCAGTGCAGCCAACACACTTTATTACCTGCCGTAATTTTAAAAACACGCAAATCAATATTTTTGTATTGTTCTGCAAATGGGAATTTCTAAGGCGGCGGCTTTATTTGCATTTTTTAGTTTACGGGTTTACAAACTGCTGATTTTAATTGTGTAATATGAATAATAAAGAAAGAAGTGTGTTTTTCTTGGGGTAGTTAGTGTGGAGTCATTATTCCTGCTGAGGCAAGCTCTTTAATAATTTTAGTTAATCTTGTTTTCTTTGATTTAAATTCCATGTAATTTTGAGCAGGAACTACTGACGCCATTGCGTATGCATTCAGATGTTAAACCAAGATTACTTTGTTGTTTCTGACAATGTTTATGCAGCAGGGTAATTAGAATTCTATACTGCGGCACCTGTTACTTAATGAAATAATTATGGCACTTACATCGATTTTCCATTTCTTTCAACAGCAGGATAACAGAAATACAAAGCAGTTTTAATTTTTTTCTCCGTTCATAATTAAACATTTTTCCTACAACCGTTACAGTGTGAAAGAACTCTAAAATAAGAAAATTGTTGCCAACCATGATTTTTTTAATTAATCGAATTTGTCAGTCTATTCTTGGTTGAATTTTGAACGCTGGTTCGAATGTGAAACTTAACATGCCGTACAATGAACAATGATTCCGATTTTCGTGTACGTCACCGGAACTATTAGAAGCAGCACATTATTTGCTTCAAACCACTTTGAAATTGTTGCCAAAATAAATTAAAACAAATCTACACAAGGCACTTTAAATTGTATGGACTGACGCACAAAGAAATTAATTTCATTTTTAACCAAATTAATATAAGTAGATGAATTTTCGAAAATAAATCTAAATGTAGCGAACTTTCAGCTCAATCTGAACGTTTTTCCTGCGTTTTATATAAGTTTTTCATTTTTTTATTTATGTTGTCCAAGCGAAAACTTAGAACGACACTGAGAACATAATTTTATAATCTGTTGATTTTAATTGAAAAGTATTTTATTTACTCTTAACTTAAACAAGCAGAAAATAGTTTTTAGAAAATTGAAGTCGGCTATACTTTAATAAATAATAGTGCTCAGAGTGCAATTATTTATTAAATAACAATCCTTTTCAGACTGAAACAGCACATTTGTGCCTCCTATTATTCCGATTTATTTATAACTCATTAGTTAGAAAATGTAATTTCCATTTCGTATAATGTTTATCTTCAATTTGTTATTTTCCACTAATGTAATCACAACAAATTCAAATTCGCTGTTTGCTTTCTCAAATACTCATAGTGGAACCAAAATAATAATAATTGCTTAATGCTACAATTTCAAGTTTCAATTCAAACAGTTTTTTCGTTTTATATGTTTTACTCAATTTAACTTAGTTTTACGTCAATAAACTTCGCTGCGAAAAGTGCACTTCTTTAATTTTCAGACCGCAGTTTCAGCGAACTAAGATTAACAAGCTTTCACAAGAAACTAAACAATAATATTCTGATCTGTTTTCGTTCCTTCAAGTCTTCACTTGAAATAGTCATTTACTCACATAAACTTTAGCTTCCAGTGATCAACTAACTAATTTACGATTATTCATACAGAACTAATGTTTTGTTAAAGAAGTTTTCGAATCTCAAAGAAAATTTCCCGAAGTCAAACTTCACAAACAAAATGTTTTCAGGAAACGAGCTTTTAAACTTTCATCTACCAAGAATCCACCTTTCACCGGCAAAACTTATCACGGTTATTGTAGTTCGTGGAACTTGCTGAAGTTTCAGAATTTCTCATTTTTTTTGACAAAAATTTCAAAAAATTAGTTTAAGCCACTCTATGGCGTAAAAAATCCTACTCACCCTTTAGCTGAAACCTGGCTGAATCGCGCCACAAATCACTGAAAACCCACTCCAAAATCGAAAGCTTTCTCACACTCAAACCACTTCGCGCACGGGTCTGGCGTCGGTCGTCGCGACGTCGATCAGGAACGACGCTTTGCGGCAAACTGAAGAAAGCGGCGTCGCGACGCCGGTTGTAAACATTAGCGCATCGCGCGGCCGATTTTGCACGACGCGGTTCGGCATTTTTCGCTGCGTACTTCATCAAGTTACGTGAAAACGGCTTGGGAATTCTGTTGAATTCGGTGCCCTTTCGTATAAATCCTAGGTGAAAAATCTGTTGTCCTACAAATCGAATTTCCATTGATATCAATAAATTTCGGCGGCTGGCAGGCGCTGGATAAGTGCGAGGACTTGACGTATTTATGCAAGGATGTGTCTAGGAAAACATTGGAAGGATTGATGGGAAGTCGGCTAGAAAATGGAAAAAGGGCGATTAAAGAAAAAGAAACAAGAGGTGGAATGAGCGGAGTTTTTTTTGCGAAAAAATTTTAAACTGGAAACAAATTTCATTAATTGAGGATAATGTTGTTAAGGAGCGGTTATGAAATTATAGTTCGCTTATTTTCATAAAGTGACAGCGCTATAATTAATGCAAGCACAAACTCGACAACTGGGTACTGTGTTACCCAGAACCTTAATCATTCCTAACCGAATAATATTAATTTATTCTTTTCAAATTTAATACTTTACGTGGTGGTCGATTACTGCATTTACTTGATGTGACTGAACCTATTCAATAGGGAAATTTTATTAAAAATGTAAAAGCTTTGCTAGCATTTAAATAGTTCTTTAACAATAAAAGTCACCCGTGTATTTTATTACTGGAAACTTAATTGGAGAAGTTTGCTACACAATTGGTCAATTACTGTACGTTAAACTGTTTAGAAATTCTATGCTGGGTTCCAGACATGCAATAGGTCCAGACATAAACGTGTTTATGTCAACAGAAAATTAGACGATTAAGTTATATTATCGCATATTATGGGAGTTTTGTTATTATGTATTTGACACCATCGTACATGGTCTTAGAAACCCTAAACTGAAAAACTAATAACAAAATTCTATTCGAAAATTGATCGAAGGTTATTTCGACAATACTCAACAGTGAATTCTACAAACTGTTTTTTTAATAACACTATATTTTTTAGAATTGTTTTGGAGCTTGTTTTTCTGCATTCATTAACATATCATACTTTGATTACGATATTCCGCCACTGTCTATGATTCGAACGCATTATGTTACAAAAACACAGTTTTTTATATTTGATCTGATTTGATAAATAGGTAAGAGTTTAAGACAAAACAACAATCCACCCACTCAGCGCTTCGAAAGCGATGCTCTCGGATTAGAAGGCGGAAACGAACTCAAGAATACTACAGAGAAGTAATTAGACTGCCGCTTATACTAGTATAAAAGGTGATCATAAAATTTGAATTTTTGTTACGAAAATTTAAAGCCTAAAAGAAAAACTCAAAGCAGATTCATGCACTACAAGTGCAGGATTATATTACTGATCACATTTAAATCATTTTAATATAGAATCTTTTGAGATAACTTCATCAAATTCTTAGTAGGGATGATTAACTAAGTTTTGGGGAATGTTTTACCATCTACAGGACATTCCCGACATACATACAAAATTTGCCAACAATCAATCCAGTAGTTTCAGTGATTATCTATGAAATACATATTTTCCACTCGAGAAGTAAAAATGTTCATTTAAATAATCTTACAGAAGCCATAGCATCTTGTTTTTTTTTATATTATAATATTTAAATCCATGTTAACAAAATTCAGTTTTTTAAATCTGGAGACAAAATAAGAAAAATAAAACAATAAGAAAGAGGGGAAAAACTAGTAATATTCTAGTCCGATTAGATTGACATTACGTCTCATTATTTTCATTAGTAGTTGCACACATGTTTCAGTAGCATTTCTTGGGCTTGCCCCAGAAGTTCAGATCACCATTGCAGATTGCAGGTAAGAAGTGCAACGAAACTAAAAATTGAAAAAAGTGACTTAAAAAGAATTTTGGAAACTCTGGGCATTTTTATTTTACAATTTAAAAGAATTTTTGGAGCATCTAATGGTTTGATTTAGAAAGACTTTAAAAAGAATCTTAGAAGTCTCGGACGTTTCGTTTTAGAACAAGTTTGAAAAAGCCTGTGTTTAATTTTTGAATGATATGAAAGAATCTTGGTGGTTTTTTATGTTTTTTTTTTTAAGAATTGAAAAGAACCTCGGGAGCATTTTTCGGTTTAGTATATGTAGAAAAAAATTCAAAAAATCTTGGAAGTCCTGGGTGTTTTTGTTTTAAAACAAGTTTTAATGAACCTCGAGGGCGTCTCGTGTTTTTTTTTTTTCAAAAATTTAAAAGAATCTTCAGATCATATGGTGGTTTGATTTAAAAAGAATTTAAAAAGAATCTCGGTAGCTCGGGGTGCTTTATTTTAGAACAAATTTTAAAGAACCTTAAGGGCCTCTCGTGTTTTCTTTTTAAGAGTTTAAAAGAATCTTGGGAGAATTTAGAGGTTTGATTTAGAACGAATTTAAAAAGAATCTTGGAAGCCGCGTCTAATTTGTTTTAGAATAAAGTTGTTAGAACCTGTTTTTGTTTGATTTTGAAAGAATCGGAAAGAATCTTGGAAGCCCCTGAGGTTTATATTTTAGAACAAATATGAAAGAATCTTGGGAGCCTCTCGTTTTTTTTAAGTACTTATATCAAAAAATCTTTGAATCATCTAGTGGTTTGATTTAGACCGAGTTTAAAAAGAATCTTGGAAGCACTGGATGGTTTTATTTTAAAACAAATTTGAAAGAATCTCGAGAGCGTCTCGTGTTTTTTTTTTTTTAGAAACTTAAAAGAATCTTTGGCTGGTATGGTGATTTGATTTAGAACGAATTTAAAACGAATTTTGGTAGCTCCGGGTGCTTTGTTTTAGAACAATTTTTAAAGAACCTTAGAGAACTCTCGTGTTTCTTTTTAAGAGTTTAAAACGATCTTGGGAGAATCTAGAAGTTTGATTTGGAACGATTTTAAAAAGAATCTTGGAAGCCGCCTCTATTTCGTTTTAGAACAAAATTGATAGAACCTTGGGGCTCTTTTTGTTTAATTTTGAAAGAACCATAAAGAATTTTGGAAGCCCCTGATGTAGGTATATGTTTTAGAACAAATATGAAAGAATTTTGGGGGCTTTTCGTTTTTATACGAATATCAAATAATCTTTGGATCATCTAGTGGTTTGATTTACAACCAGTTTAAAAAGGATCTTGGAAGACCCGAGTGGTTTTATTTTAGAACGAATTTGAAAGAACCTCAAAGGCCTCTCGCGTTTTGTTTTAAGAATAAAAAAAAAATGGAGCATCTAGTGGCTTCATTCATACAAATTTGAAAAAAACCTTGGGACTGTTAGTGTTTTATTTTTGAAAAACTCTTGGGGATTCCTGGAGTAAAATTATTGAAAAAATTTTGAAATCTTCCGGAATTTTAAATTAAAAAGAGGTTTGAATTAGAAGGAAATCGAATGAACCTTATGGATCTCTGCTGCTTTGATTTAGAACGAATTCCAAAGAAACTTTAGAATAAATTTGGAAGACCTTAAGGTTTTTGGTTCCTTATTTTTTAATAAATTGACAAGAGTCTTGGAAGCTCCTAGTGTTTTATTTAGAACGAAATTAAAAGAATATTCTGGTTCCCTGAAATTTTATTTTTGCATGATTTTGAAAGAATCTTCTGAGTCCCTGGTAGGTATATTATTTCTATAAGAATTTGAAAGAACCTCGGGGCTATTGGTGTTTTTTAAAGACCCTTCCGGACCTCTCGTGTTTTTTTTTTAAGAATTTAAGAGAATCTTGGGAGCGTTTAGTGATCTGATTTAGAACGAATTAAAATAGATGTTTCCTTTTAGAACAAATTTGAAAGAACCTGGGTTACCCTGCGCCTTATTTTTAAAGAATATGGATCTTGGGAGCTCGTAATGTTTAATTTAGAACGAAATTTAAAAAATAACTTCGAACTGCTGTTTTGTTTTAGAATAAATTTGAAAGAACACTGGAACCCTTGGTGTTTTACTTTTGAAATAATTGGAAAGAATTTGTTTTAATCTAGAACCAAATTGCATAAACTTTCTGAGCTCCTGGTGCCGTGATTTACAGCGAATTTGGAAGAACTTTGAATACCCCTAGTGTTTTGTTTTAGAACAAAATTGAAAGGATCTCGAAGCTTTTGGTTTTCTATTTTTTAAATAATTGAAAAGAACCTTGGGAGCTTCAAGTGTTCTATTTAGAACAAAATTGAAAGAATCTTGTAGATCCTTGATATTTTCTGTTCTAAAAAATTTGAAAGAATCGAGTCACTGGTATTCTATTTTTTTAAAGAATTCGAAGGAATCTTAGTCCGTGGTATTTTATTTTAGAAAAAATTTGAAAAAATCTCGTCACCATTGGTGATTTGTTTTAGAACAAATTTCAGAGAACGTTGGGGCTCTTGGTGTTTTATTTTTGAAAAAATCTTGGGGGCTCCTGGTGTCAAATTATTGTAAAGAGTCTTGGGATCCCCTAGTGTTTTGAATTAGAAGGAAATCGAATGGACCTTCTGAGTGTCTGCTGCTTTGATTTAGAACGACTTCGAAACAAACTTGAGGATTCTAGGTGTTTTTTTTAGAACAAATACTGAAGGAGTTTTGGTTCCTTATTTTTTAATAAATTGGAAAGAAGCTTGGAAGCTGATAGTCTGGTATTCTATTTTTTAAAAGAATTTGAAATCCATTTCTGTTTTGTTTTAAAATCAATTTGAATAAAACTTGGGAACACTTGCTTCCTTCTTTTTTAGGGAATTTTAACAAACCTTGGGGGCTCCTAGTGTTTTAATTTAGATTTTTGAAAGTACCTCAGAACCATTGCTGTTTTGTTTTAGAACGAATTTCAAAGATACTTGAGGGCCTCTTGCATGTTTTTTTTTTAAGAATTTGAAAGAATCTTGGGAGCATTTAGTAGGTTGATTGCTTAAATTAGAACGAATTAAAAAAGAATCTTGGAATCAAATATGAAGGAACCTAGGACACTTTGTGCCTTATTTTTTAAATAGT